AGACCTCCACCATGTAAAATTTGTCAGTGAAACCTGTATTTTAAATTACTAGAAAAGTTCACAAATGCATTTTAATAAAGTCTGTGTGCATCCACTCCTTCTTTGCTGCATAGCATTAGAATGTCATTACATTCTACAAGCATTTGTAAAATTAACAACCTCCACTAGACTGCAATCTTGGTTACAAGGTTTCATAGCCTCTTGCGATTTAAAGGCCATGATACTACATAAAACCCTATAAAAACATAGTGCATAGCATAAAAATCGCTTTAGAAGGTCAAACATTGATTTGTGATGCGATGTTTCATCATGAGTGATGTTGAGAGAGCCACATAGTCATTTTTCAAGTATACTAATAGAAGCAATGATGACTATATTTAGAGTTATCCTGAATTATTGTAACTTTTTAAAAATATCACCACTTGAGAATTGTTGCTGAAATCCATTGTGCCTATACAAGACAATTGCACAGATTAACTGATGCACAAAGCCCATTCTTGTTGTATTGTGGCTGCATGGTTGCTGCTACTTACCCAAGTTACCTGTGCTTTTCCCTTACTACCTGGGAACTTTTATATGCAGACTGAGCTGAACAGGCAATGTGGTTTTGCTATTTCCCAAAATGGCTTTCTATGAGGTTAGAAGTCCATGCAATGTGCCCATGCAGAGGATGGGTCCAGTATGTGGCAAGCAGAGAAATTTCATTTGTCTAAACATGCATCAAAAAAGAAAAACCCAAAATAAAAGGACTTCTAAGCAGAATTGCCAGGAAGGTGTTTGCTACTTCAGGTCTTGCCATCAGGGTTATAGATGGGATCCAAAGAATCTGTAGCATGAGTGGAAGGCACTTAATGTCATTCCCATTTCTGGAATGAAACTTTAGATTCTCTGGATCTGGCCTTATGTTCTCTGGAGAGTATCAACTGCATTGCAACGTACAGTAACTTGAAGTCCCGCTCAGCACCACAAGCTTGTGGGCTTTGAATCCACATTTGAGCTACTATTAACTACCTCTTTCTTCGCATGCTACATCCTTTAAACTTTACCTTTTGTTAACCACCCAGAGAACCTTTGACTCTTGGACTGTATAAAATGAAATAATAGGAAATGGACCTATTTTTTAAAAGAATGGCTTTAGGAATTCCCTAAACATCTGAGCATCAGCCTCAGTAAGGCAAATGTTTCAGGACACGTGGAAAGGAGAAGTGTTTGGAGGGAGGTCCACAGGTTCAATTCTGGAGCTTTAAGTATTCAGGATCTGAATGGATCAAGCTCCAATACCTGGAGAAGATCTGTAAAACAAGAGGCAGAGCTGTTGGTCCAGAATGGAGTTCACACATGAAGTTTATTATTGAAATTCCTGGGGCTAAAAGGCAGTGCTGTCTGACAGGGTAGGAAACGAGCAGGATGGAAGTGGTAGTTTCATGGAAATAGCTCAGGAGGGTGTGGGAATATTCTATGAAATCCTAAACAATGGGTTTCCCTAAACAAGCGCCACAGGCCTGGGTACCATGTACCACAAAATGGCATGTGGTTGCTTCCCCTGTATCACCTGACCTTTTGTAGGACCTTTTGTTGCTTCCCCTGTATCACCTGACCTTTTGTAGGACCTTTTGTTGCTTCCCCTGTGTCACCTGACCTTTTATTCCCCTGTGTCACCTGACCTTTTATTCCCCTGTGTTGCCTGATATTTGTTGCATCAGTGGGATGCGACTCAAGGCACACTTAGTGTTCTGGTGCCCACTCTAACTGCTATAGTCACCTGGGTTCTACAAGATCTTCAGTTTTCCTGTACCAGTTATACCTACTTTGGATGGGTGGTTGAGGTTCTCAGAGCAAAATCTATAAAGGAATCAAAGTGTCATTGATGGTTTTAAAACTTTCCTAGAAATGGATGCAGTCAGTCAAAATCTGCATCTAATTTTACTTTAGGCAACATTCAGGTAACTTAAAGATGTGTGTAAAGCCACTAGTGCACTGCTGGGAAATGCAAGCTGGACCAACTTATGCCATAACTAGATTTCACATTTCAAAGCCAAAGCATACAGAGTTTTAATTGGCTGATAGTGTAGAATACTTTGAAGTGCTAATTTTGAACACAAAACATCAATTATGGATTGCATCTGTGTTTATTGCCTGTTTTGCAATCGGATTTGAAAGAACAGTTCCTAATACTTTGTAAATAAAGCTTAAAAAGAGAAACACCTATAATTTTATTATATAAAAGTACATATCAAATTATAAAAGAGACGTTTGCAAATTCCTGACATGTTAGATTTGAGTTGCCTGAATAAAGCAGATGGTATTTCACCTAGTAAAGATTTTTTTTAATGTTTATTTGGCCAGCATGTTATGCCTCAATTTTCCAGAAATGCTATGTTCTTGTAACTCTTCCAGCACTCTATAGCCAGCCTGTGGCTAGTAAATAGCTCATGCTTAATTAATTCCTTCTAATTTTTGTTTCTCTAACAAACAACTCAAAGGAGAATTTCTTTTGCAAAAAGAAGTAGAAGGATTTTAATTTAGGAACTCATGTGAGTTTGCCTGTAATTCTGCCATGGATTAGTTATCTCCCAGTCATTGTAGTGCTATATGGAATGCCACATTATAGCATGAAAAATCAGTTTTATGACTCCCTGCTCCCCACTAGCATCATAAATAAAAACTTCTCAAGCCAAACTTACTTATAGGTGCCTACTGTTCACTTTCTCTGAGAATTCTTTCTCCACCACTCCTTGCTCTCTTATTCTGCCTGTCTCCAATGTTCCTTTAAGTATCCCTCCAATTATGAGAAACCTAGGTGGTGCTTTCAAAATGCTGCCTTCAAGGTAGATATTCTAACATGTGCTTCTTCTAATTTCCCATTTAATACTTAAGGCAGTCCTCAGCTGTGCTAAGCAATTATGATTATGCTGTCTTGCTGGTCCATGTAGCGCAGTTCCTCACCACCATCCCTCATAAATCAGAAGGTGGTTCACCCCTGGATCACAGTCTGCTCTTCTGTCTATTGTTATAGAATAGGACCCAAGTAATGGAAATCCCTGCTGGTGTCATATTTCCATAGTAGGACAGGTGATGGGGAAAACTGGCATCAGGAGCCACTCCCATAGAATCTGCCAGAAATTAAATGCTGACCAAGCCTCATCCAGCATGAGAGCTTCAGGAAACACAGTTCTGGTGTCTGCTTTTCTGAAGAAGTCTGAAGATAACTCTATTTTCTCTGACACTGAGGATGACTCATCCTCTGAGCCATCCATGTCTCAGAAAGGCACACCATCACCTAACAACCAGGACTACAGGAACCTCCCCAGTCCCATGAAAGACAGTGCCTAAGATAGAGGTCACAGCTCCTTTCAGAGCCATCACTTCCTCAAGGGAGATAAACACAAGAAATATCAACATTAGCATCATGAGGACATGCTCACAAGCCATGAGAAGTGACCTGATGGCCTGGGCTAGCCAGTATGAATGAGATGAGAATGAAGAGTGAATAATGAATGCTGGTATCCTTGCAGAGAAAAGGACAGTCATAACCTGAAGTAATTTCCCATTAAAGAGATTAGAAACGATTCTACAAGGAATTGTTATCATTGTCCTGAGCGATCCCCGTAAGTCAAACATTTGGAAATTACCCCATCAGTAGCAGCCAGGGAACACAGAAAAAGAACACAGCTTTTACACACAGAAAACAAACAAGGTCAAGTAGCAAACAGCAATAGTCAAGGCCATCAAGAGCAACCAAGCTTCTACCAAAGAGTTAGCATAAACCTGAGAAAGTAGGAACCTCCCAGTTCCCTGAGAAGTAAGTCTAAAAGGAACTTAGAACATGGAAGTGGGAAAGCTCTGAACATAGACATGGCTACCCAGACTGGAACATGAAATACCAGCTCCCTTTCCCCCCAGGCTAAGCCTCTGTTAGGAGTCTACTGCATGGAATAAATGACAGACAGGACCTCCTCCCTGTCTGTTATTTTCTCTCTGACTACAAAGATATTAGTGAGAAGGCTAGTTACTTCTTTAAAAAATTAGAGTAAGCCTGGGATCTATCAGAATATCTGCTTCCTTGCAGGGTCATTTTGCTTTCTAGGTGTTGTGTTCTGTGTGGGTGGGGGTGGGAGTGGGGGGTTAGCTAGAAAGCTAGAAAGCATTCCTCTCTGGAAAAAATCAGTTATATCCCATGGGTATCCAAAGGCAAGCACCCCCATTTTGAGGTGTATTGTTCCCCAAGACCACCTGGGATCACAAGAGCTAGAGACAATTCCTTGTCTGCAGTACTATGGAAAACCAAGTTGGTCTCCAAGGAATTGCTGGAGCAAGATCCTGGTACAACACCGAAATGCTAGCATCTAGACTCAGCTCTCTGCACTGAGGGCCAGGGTCTTGAAGCCTTCCACCCACCCTGCATTGCTGCCAAGTTTTGCCAGTACCCCTTTGGGGGCACAGACTAGAATTAGAACTGGACAGCTTGCTGCAGTCTTAGAGCCAAGTTTCTTTAATAGACTGTGGATGGCAAGTGAACCCGCTGAGAAAGCTTTTTGTCACTGATATTTGATAGTAGGTAGCTAAGAAGTACATGCAGTCAGTCTCTAACTATAGCCTTATAGTTTGAGAGAAGATAACAGAAATGGGGGAGGTCTTTTCTGTCAGTGGTTTTATGCAGTATACTCTCAACAGCATTCTGAAAGATTTGGCAGATTCATGCACAATATAATTTAGAAAACCATGACAAATATTCAACACTTAAACATAGGCTGTTTTTCTTTTTTGAAAAGCTTAAAACACACATGCCAAATCTCAAGAAGAATGAACAGAGCTTGGCTGGCATTGTCCTGTCTCTTTCCTCCATTGCAGAAATGAGTTGGGACAGGCAACGTTGACTTGGCCAAATTCCTTTTGTCCTTCTGTGAAGGTCAACTGCTCCAGCCAGCTTATCTGTCCCCACCTCCCTCACATGATAGGGGAAGGAGAGAGGGAGAGGAAAGCCAAGCTTGTTGAATTCACTTGACCACAGAGATCAAATATAGCATTCAGAGTGGAGCTGGGGAGACCTTCTGAAGATTTGTCCATGTCCTCTGCAAAAGAGCTCAGTGTGAATTCTTCTGAGAAGGTAAAGTTGAAATCTGTACTTTTGAAGCTAGGTTCCACCCAGAGTCACTTTGACCTCTGCCATGTCTGAATCATCATTAAGTGAGCTTTCCAGGCTTCGGCACATAGATCTATAAAGCCTGCTTCTAGACTTCTCCCGTTCCCATGCTTTCTTTTTCTGAACACATTCAAGGTGTGGATTGTCAGGCTCCTTCAACAAGACAGTGGATGAAAGGAGAGAGAAGACCTAGGGTTCCTAGATGGCTCTGTGGGACAAGAATCAAGGTTTCTTGGAGGTATCTGACTGAAACAGGCTCCTGGCCTCTGCAATGCACTGGGATTGGATTGAGTGTTGCGCATGTGCATTATCTGGAAGAGGGCTGCATTTTGTTTGTGCATGCATGTTTGCAGGCATATGTGCATGTGAGTCTTCCCCATGCCTGCATACATTCAGTACAGTCCCCAATGTCAAATAGTTTGTGTGCTCAGAGTTTGTGTGATATCAGAGCTATTCAGCCAATAGCAAGCACAGAAGCCTTAATATCTATGCCTTTCTATGCCTACTATACCATCAGGTAGATCAGTCAATGGCATTAAAAGAAAGTGAAAGAGGTCAATGACTGAATGGAAGATTTACAAGTTTAAGATCAAGGAAGGGAATGCAGGATGTAATAGAGATGATCTTTCTCCATAGTCCTGTCAAAAATTACATTGAAGCTAATCTTGCCAAGAATGTAATAGCTTGTCAGTTAGACTAGTATGCAATTGATCTTCCATCTCCCAGACCCTTTACTTTTCAAATTTATTTTCTGCTTTAATTGAGAGTCACCTAACTTTCCATAGCAAATGACAAAGAAATTATTATCCATGCTGTCAGTTCAGAAAAAAAGATGGAAGGGGAAGACAATCTGTTGTCATAATCCAATATTCTGAAGCTTCTTGAAACATTGAGGTTGCCAGTAGCACAGACTGATGGTCCCAATTACCCATGGTCTCTCTGCTAGCCAAGGCTGGGGTGCCATGTGACAGACATCACTCAGGGAAAGAGCAGGTTTTCATTGTGACTTTGATAAATATTTTCTGCAGAACTTTGTCTCGTATTAGAAATGAGCTGAAACTACTGACTGGGGCAAAAGTTTGCACACATGTCATTCCATGATCAAAGGCACTGGATAATCACTGGATTTCTCCATTTCAATAATGGCCTGTCTCTGAGGCATTGAAAATTGACCCTGGATAACATTTGAAAAAAAATCATTTGGCATGCTGATAAATTAAATTTGAAAGAGAATTCTTGTTGCTTCTGCTGTTTTATGGTGTGTTTTTCCTTTCATTTATTTTTGTTTTGTTAGGACGAACTCAAATCTCTAGTCGCTTTCAGTGTGTATGATGCTTGACTCTGAGCCTCTGCTTCAGATGTCACTGAAGTAAAAGTTTGTAGCCCCATTTTTAAAGCATTCTGCTTGTGAGTAGCAAGTAAAATCTGATGACAGGTGGAAAGCTGTCGCTTCACATGGAGGTCTGCCTGGTGCTCACGTGGGATAGCATTACTATGCTGAACAAATGTGGTGGCCTTTGCTAATGCGATCAGGCTACCTGTGCTGCTACTCAGCTTTGATTTGACTCTTCTCATGCTCTGGCTCTGTGCCCCCCAAATTCTGGCTACCAGCCTAGGCACTAAACACATCTACTTCATGCACGCACACCTGTACATGTGTGCGTGTGCACACACATACATCAACCCTGCTTGCAGAATAGAGAACATGACAGTGTTGATATTCCTAGCAGTGTCCTCAATTTGCACTCATTCATGATGAGTGATCATCCTAGTCCTCATTTGAAAATAACTGAGGTTTGCAATGCTCTGGCCACACCTCCAAACCATCTTTATTGTCTCCCCAAAGCAAAAACACACCCCAAGCCCACAAAATTTCTTGAGCTGACAGTGGAAGTCCAGCTCATTTGAATTTGGGGGAGCCTGCTGCTTCTGATCTGATGTTCAGAAATGGCCCAAGGCCGTTCCCTCCCATCAAACTTCTGTCTCTAAGATTGGCCATGGTTTGCACATTTTCTGGGTTTTTTTGTGAAGAAATCATGTCTGTGATTTGTGCACATAGATGCAACTTGTGTGAATTGCTATATTTTTCATGTTTAGGACAAATTGTATGAGAACCACTTGCTTTGGGTGCATATTGCACAAATCAGCTGATTTTACCCAAATGGCTATTTAAATATGCAAATTTCTGCCCATTTTAGAAGCAAAAGTCTACCAGCTAGTTTAAATCACAGTATAGCAGGCCAGTGCCAGCATGGAGCTGAGAAGCCAAAATGTGAGGAGAAGGAATATCATGAAACTCTAGCAGGTTTTAATGCCCTTATCAGTTTCCACACACAACCCTATCACACGTGAGTTCACATATAAATGAGCATTTGGCAACAGAAAGACTATGCCATGGTGGGACAGTCATCATGGATGCTCACAGAATCTGAGAGGAATGAAGCCCTGCTCACAGCAGAGTAGACCCATCCCAATTCTGGTTCTGACCATTCAAGAAGGGTTGCTTGCCTCTGGGGATGTATTTGCTTTGAATTCTCAGCATTTTCACATGCATTGATCTGCTTCCATACATTCACATACTGTTTCCTCTCATTTAATAGTAGTATCAACACATTACTAAATCTGCTCCAGAAATCTATATCTTCCAATCCCAAGGCTGGATTTTTAGCTACAAAATCTTGTCTTAGAAAAAGTAGCTGTGATCTTGATTACCTGCACTTGATATGTCTGTGACAAATAAATTGATTATCCCCAAAATAATTGCTTTTGCATCCCATTCCAGACATCCTAGCCTTAGCCCTACTTTATGGCTGTTATTGCTCTTGACCTCATAGCATTGTGGTTCCCTACCTCCACCCCAATTCATGCTCATTTTCCAGTTTTGACATAAGAATCTCCAGTGTCAGCAATTCACCACTCTACATTCAGGCATGGATGTTTCCTAGGAGTTATCCCAAGATAACCATAAACCATACCTACAAAAATGGAATTGTCTGCCTAAAAGGCCCAGTTGTGTGGGACTGGTGTTGGAATACACTCATAGCACCTTAATGTAGAAAATCCTTGAATACTCTTGAACATGGAGTCCTCTCACTGCTTCACTCAGTAATTTTCTATTAAGTGATTCCCCAATTTTTGCAACAAGACTGCCCATAATTTAGTCTTACCCAGGGTTCTGGCATCTTCAGCCTCTGAAGCTTTAATTAAAGATGTTTCAGTCTCTAGTTCTTTTTTTCTTTTTAAATCTGGAGTGTTTTATATCCCACATTGATCAAAATATGAAAACATGCCAAAATTTGAAAATTTTATCATATATGGGACAAAAATGGGACTTGAGATTAAAAGATTCAATGTGGGAGACACAAAACTGACAGATTCATCCCTCAGGTTCAGGGTTTTGTGTCCATTGCTGCCCCACTTTCATTGCTCAAAGTGTACATCATCATTAGTTGATCTGTTAACATTGAAGAACATTTGGGCTAATTACATGAAAAATGTTAACTCACTGGAAAGTGAACTATTGAAGTCTGTGGTTATTCTTCCCCCTTTCTCTCCTGCCCTCCCCCGATCTCTCTCTCCTTTCTTTCCTCATACTCCCAGCTCACCCAAGGTTGGCATCTCTTGAGGAGCAATTAGCTGGGCCATGACAATGATAGTAAAACACGTAGCAATACCATTTCTTCTATGTTAAGTATCATATTTTATAAAGACATCATTGCGAGTTGTCAGCAGCTATTCAGTAAGTGCACTAGCATCTTATTCAACTGAAATGTTCAGGAGAACGGTTTCACATCATTTGAAACATGAATTGTGGCCACATGAACAAGGTTTGCTTGATAAAATGAGCTTTTTTCCAAAGTGTATCCAGATGGGCATTCCTTTTTCCTTTTCCAGATGGTGATGCACAGATCTGTCTGGTTTGCCTTATCCCACATTCATGAAAACAAACAAACAAACCTCAGTCTCTTTTCATCTCAAACGTTAAGAAATTTGAGAATTTTGCTAGATTTTTATGGAAAAAAGAAATAAAATGTTCACTGGTCTACACTGGTAAAGTACAGTATCTGTCCCCAGCATGAAAAGGAACAGGTTATATTTGTCTGCCACTGTGACTTAAAATATGAGGGGTTTGTTAGGAAAATAAAAGAAAAACAAAGAAAAAGAGGTTGCAACCCCAATTCAACCCTAAAAACTTCACTGAATATAAATGATAGAACCCTTGACTGTTAAGAGGTAATCATGCAAAGTCCCAGGCCCATAAGAATAAATCTCTCAGCCTTGGTTTCTACTGTGAGATGAAGAAAACAAGATGAGGAAACAGAATTTTCAAGTGTGCATAGTATGAGTTCAAAAGGAGCAAAATTCAATGCAAACTTCATTTATGCAGTGCCATTTGTACTCCCAGATAATTCAATAGTAAATATATTTCAATTGCCTGAGTCATTACTGCTACTAATAAAACTTTTACAATGAAGTTTTCTTCTGTTAATATGATCTTGAATACAAGATCAGAGCAGAATTAAGTGCTTTATTTTGAGAAGAGTTTTCAAATATTTATGCGAAACCTCTCTCTTTCTCTCTCTGTCCTATCTCTGATGTCATCTTGTAATGCAAACTACAGTCATAGAATCATGAATATTTATGTATTGCTTAGCTGGGAAAATTGATGTAAATTAAGCAATTTTAAACACAGGCAATATTTGCTTAAAGCCTGTCTCTTTGTAAAACTCTCCTTAATATGATGTTGTTTCCTGGACTCTGTGAGGAAGCTTTGGAAGCACTGGAAGCTCTTGAACCCAGCGCAAAGCAGGAAGCTTGATGCTTTCACACATTTGGTGTCGAATGTTTGGTATCTCATTTGCATGCAAGCTGCAAAGAAGAATGATCACCTTAAACAGTGATTAAAAATTAGGATTGGCAGTTATGGCCAAGTAAGCCTCTTTGCTGATCAATATGCAGTCTGAGGCAGGGACTAATTCCTCCCCTCTTTGGATTACATTTTGCATTGAATGAGCTCTAGTTCACATGGAACTTTTCTTTAATCAGTAGAATCCAGACACCAGTCTCAAAATATAGTGAACTGAAAGGTTAAAACAATAGCAGCACAGTCAATGCAGCAGCATATCTATTCAGAAAAGTCCCATTGACTTCATCAGGATTTCCTGCCAGATGTAAATACAGGATTTTAGCATAGTGCATTAAGGGTGGGGGGCAGTCTGTTAAAATATTTGTTTTTAAAGTGAATACAATACATTACAACCTCTGTGTGTATATCAAGGAGGCTTCAGGAATTTCAGTATCTGAAAATTCTATATCAATTAATTTGATCCACAGTTCCTGGATCAACAGCTGCATTGCAACTTCATTATTCACTGGAGACTGCACTGCCTGAATATTGCAATTCAGTTCTTGGCTGAGAAAGGAAAAAAAATCAAACTGCATCTTGACATGTATGCTTTAATGCAAAATATGCTTGGATATGTATTTGCATGAACTTTTTGAAGTGAATTTACAGGAAAAAACATCACATATTAATGTGGAAACTGGATGAGCTGCTTCACAGCTGCAAAACTGATATTGTATGGATCTTCTGTAGGTGCTCTGGACATATTTATTGGCAATTAATTTACAAAATATTCAGAGGAGTTGGGGTCCTTCTTCCAAATTTTCTGAAGAGCTGCAAAGTTATCCCAAAATCATGAACTGCATGAAAGGTTTTATATTTGAAGTTAACAATGCTTTGCCTTCCAAAGGCAGTAGATATTTATTTTCTGCTGTCAGAAGCCTCTGCTAAGTAGACAATGCAATTTCTCTTTATACAACTTGTCAGTAATGCTCTGTCATCACAAAAGAGCAGTTTCCGGAAGTTGTGGCATTTATATGCCACAAACGAAGTTGTGGACAGGCTTGGGAACAAGTGACAAGCACAAAGTTGTGCTGTGGAATCTTAATGCAAAGTACAACCTTAGAAATTTTGTCATTTACAAAAACAAAAGGAAAAGAAAAACAAAAAACAACCTCAATATCATCTACAGGATTAGAATAAGCAGATCATTTACCAACACATAAGCCCACAGTGAAACTTTGGAACATGCAGCTGATAGCGATGACAGATCCTGTAATTCTTATCCTGTTTACAGTTGCATCTCATGCCCTAAACCAGGTTCAAATTCCTCCCAGGAATAAAATAATGCCACTGTTCATCCCACATTATACCTGAGCTAAGGAAGGTTGTACGCTTTCATGAGGCTGAATCCCTGTCTATGCTCCATCTGAGTAACCTGCAGAGTTCAGGAATTTCCACGAAGAATCATGACAGACTCTGTGACCCCAGTCCCTACCCACCTAACAGCATGGTCTTGAGGGTAAAACTCAGGTTAAGCACCAGAAGACACAGTGCCCATTCCATACTGAGGAGGAGAATGAACAACTGAAGCATACTATGTATCAAAGGAAGGAAAGCCAAAGGAGGGAATTGGAGCAGCAAGGCCAGGAGTACCTCCTTCCACCCAGAAGCTTGTGCTCTATTGGTAACTTCTTGGCTAGGTGGCTCCCGGTGTTCCTTGAACAGCCCTGGCCAAGTTATCCCTCTAACTCTAATATGCTGTTTCCCAGACTCTCAAGTACTGATGAGGAACTAAAGCCTGACAGTCCAGGTTTAGTTGGTATGGGGCAAGCATCACCCCCATTATTGCCCCATTTCCAAGGACTCTTGCCCAAGTGTGTACTTTGAAAACCTCCAGCAGAGATGCTTTGGCAGAATTCTTCCACCAGAATTTAATCTAGTTGTTACTTGTTAGCAGCTGTTAACTGTTGTTCTGCAGGATTGCACTATGTTCTGGTTTTAGCTGTCTGGCTGTAAAAGTGTGGTTTTAAATGCGGGTTTAATTTTTAATGCAATTTTATGATGTTTTATTGTTTCAATCTATACTGCGTTTTACTGGATTTATTATTCCTGTTCTCTACTCAGAGAGCTTCAGTTATTAGAAGGCATAGAAATTAAATGAATGAATAAATGAGCAAATGAATAAATCTAACCTTTCATTTGGAGTCCTCTATACATACATATAGAAGAACAAGATGACAGAATGACTAGCGTCATACCAGACTACAGGTGGTAGTAGAATATCATATTTGGATGCTTTCACATATAACTAACCAATGTGGGGGGAGAATTTACAATAGAGTCAATGAACAAGTCAGAAGAAAGGTTTTAGACCAATTCATTTTCTACTTGTGAGCAGTTGCTTCATTACAATTAATGTAAAAATCTAAAATTTGACTCTTCACGAGAATTTTGATGTGCTATTGTCCATTCTATCACCTGATTACCACTTCATTCTGAATCACATGAGGAACAGACCCTGGCTGCAATAAAAGTAGCTTTGATACAGAGACCGAGCAAGAGTGAAAGAGAGATTGTGTGTGGCTGTAGAAGACTATCCTTGGGGAGAAGTCAACATGTGGATGAAAAGTAAATACTGGGGAAGCACATGCATTGCATGCAGGGCATTTCAAGTTCAACTGCTGGAAATGCTAATTAGAGGAATCAAGTAGAAGGTGCATGAAAAATCCTCTGCATGTGACCTGGAGAAAACCTTACCGATTCAAGTAAGTAATCCTGCTCTAGATGGATGAATACTTAGATCTTCTGAAGGGTGGGTGTTCATTTCAGTAGCCATGGACTAGTACAATCAAACAGCATTCATTCTTCATTGGACCCAGGGAAGTTATGGTTTTTTTAGGGTTTGTTCCTAGTAAAACTGTGGTTTGACTCCACTTTTAGTCATGCTTAAAGTAAATCCATTGAAATGATCATGATCCAACCATGTTTGCACCATAGTTTAAAACCATTAAAATATGAATTGGGCTCAGAGGCATATAAACAGCCTATGCAAGCAGGCCAGAATTTGTCTTATATGTTTGTTCATTCTAGTTTTAACATATAACACTTTTAAAAAGGGTTTCAGTGAAAACATTCTTTATTATAGTCTTGACATGATCATGAACTCATTTAGACAAGCCATTTTATGAGACAGCCAGTCACCCACCTGCTTGATAAAATGGTATTTATACTGGACCAAATGGTTGCAGCAATGACCCTATAAGGCTAGAACACAAGGAGAACCCTTCTGAAGGAGTCCAAACATAAGTCTAGTCTAACAATCTCTTGTTCACAATGCCAACCATATGCTGCCAGGAATGCCAGAAACAATGAGCAATTGGAAATATACTTGCTCATATACATGGAGCTTGCATATAACTCTGATGATCTGTACCCAAGGTAGGTGTGTGAGGGAGACATTCATTTCATTTCATTTTTGTTCAATATTTACTCAGTTCACACCTTTCATATAGAAAATGAACTCAGACATATCCATGATCAAATGACATCTATTTCTGAGCATGCAGTATTATTTGATAACTCAAAATGTGTTCAGCAGCATTTGTATTCTGAAAAATATGCATACTTTTGAAGAATGTGCACCATTGATGCATGCACGTGGAAATACACGTGAAATACGTGTGGATTTTCACTGTGTGTGGGGAACTCACTATCTGATAAGTGGAATTTGTAGTTTTAGTGAGCCTGGATTTTGCTGATTCATACATCCCTAAGCCAAAGCAATGCATGTGAGATGCTTTGAGGATTTAAGAACAAGGGGAAGGCTGTGAGTCTTTGACTCATTGAATGGATATGGCAGAGAAATGGCTAAAGCCTCTGTACACATACTGGGCCCCCAAAAGAGATGCTGGCTGAAGCATCTCCAGCTGGAGCCATGTCACAGGAACAAATACTGTCAGGGTCTGTTGGCTACTGCCTGACATCAACTGGCCACTGAAGATCTCAACAGAGGTGTTAGCTTCCCCTTCTCTGAAATAAGATCACCACTCTTGCCATAGAAGCACAGGAACACAACCATTCCAGATTTCATTATTTGGTAGTGGCTTCCCAAGGTTGGAGCAGAGGTCAGTCCCATCACTGGAACTGATCTGCTCCTTTTAAAGGGAAAATGCCTGAGAAAGAATGTGAGAATTTAGCATGTAGCCACTGTTTTCCTCCACTGAGGTAGGGTCTTTTCCCATAGACAACATCAATTCAGACTCAGCTACAATGAATAAAATACCTGGGAAATTCCCAGTGCCACAACAATGAAAGCTTTGCCCATCACTGAAGAGACATATACAGATCTTCCATGCTGTTGTTTTCAATAGCTGTCAGGAAACACACCATTGCATAAGCATTATTATCAACCTGCACAAACAAAAGCATCTTGGAGGGAACAGCCTTCATTGAAAGCAAAGCAGCTACTTTGAATTGACACCTTTTTCAACGCATGTCTGTGTTTATCCTTGCTGCTATCAATTGCTCCCATTGATTTCCTTCGTATATTCACAGGAACAGCTGCTGATGTGAGTGAATGAATTAAGTCTTTACTGTTTTGTTCTCCTGTTATCCTGGCAAAGGGGAAAGCAGCTAAGCAAGGAGCTGATTGATTTTCCATGTGCATCAACAGAATTTTGCACAAAGTTCTAATCAGTCTAAACCGTGCATTTCCCTAGGTTCTGTTGTCACCATGCAAGTTTCCTTGCCTTCATCGATAGAAGTGAATGGTGGAGCAAATAAATACAGAAATGGTGGTTTAGAAGGACAGGATATTTGTTGTTGAGAAGTTTGTTGTCTTGTGCATCCATGTGGGCAGAATATTTCATTTTACTATCAATGCAACTCTCCCTTCTTTCTGACCACATCCCCCCAGCTGCAAATCTGTGAGATGGCATCCTTCAATCTGATGGGTATTATGCTTGTAGGACATTTTCTACACTAATCCAGAAGGGGTCCTTCCTAGTCTCTTAGCATAATCACCATCAGTGCAAACTTGGAATGTGAAGGAATTAAGCTGGGGAAATGATGCAAGAGGTCAGTCAGAGAGACTGCAGCATGAAAAATGGGGAGGCAATACCCTATAAAAGGAATTGTGATATTTGATTTGAGGACAAATGTTTGGACATCTGCAGCTCATACTGTGGTAGCATTATTTTGAAAGGAAATGCGTTTCTGCCAAATCTAGCATTCTTTCCCGTTAAAAATCTCAGCCTCTAGATCACACGACTGAGGTAGCTGTCAGTCTATCAAGTACTTAGGAGCTCAGCTAAACTCTGACTCTTTTTCAAACAACTTATCAGCTTGCTGGGAGCTCTCCTAGATACTGAAGGCTCTGCTTTAACTCCCAGCTAACTGATACATGCCATTTGGCACATTCTGTTTCAGTTACTTCCACACTCTGTGATTCATCATTTTCCAGAATTTTGTGGCACTCAGCCAGACTCTACAGAATGGCACAGCAATATCCATTAATATGAAAGAAGGAGCACCCCCATTTACCTGTCCTATCACTGTAAAGAACAATGATTGATTCAGAAACGACTGCAGCCTGGACTTCTGTTAAAAGTTCCATTGCAACAGTTAAGACTAAAGTTGAAGCACAGTTTCATCAAGTCAGATTCAAAGCTATCAGCTGATCCCTTTAACCACTCCGCTAAAACTGCATCCCTTAATTTAACAACATATTTGTTTGCTCCAATTCAATCATTTCCTTATACCAAAATGTCTATATGCTATTAACACTTACAGGGTTTGCTCTTGCTGTTTCTAGTGGAACACTGCCATCTAGTGATTTCACTGGCCAGAGGCTGTTGGCTGTTGCCATGCTGATCTGACTATCCACAACCAGTTTAGGTATGTACCGCAATTGTTATTTGACCAAAATCCATTAAGGGTCTTGGTTAAGTGTTGAAAAAGCACCATTCCCTGTCATTAGAGAAGGGCATGGATTCTATGAAATATCTAAGCAGCAAATTTTACCTTGTCATGTCTGAAGGTCACACTCATGCAAAATTTAATGTTGACTCTCAGCTTTGATAAGAGGCATGTATGTGCTGCATTCTGATATTCTTCAGAAAAAAATAAAAAAGAAAGAGTTGAATGATGGAGCAATACCATTTGGCAAAGAGAGAGAGAGAGAGAGAGTGGGCAAAGAATGCCTTAAAGGGTCCCTTCTGATCTGAATTGGTTAACATTAATTGACACTGGGTATAGACAACCAAAAGAAAACCAATGGGGGTGAACCACAATGCAACTGGAAAAATCCAGAAATCTTTTTTTGAAGTATAGCACTCTGTTCTGGATGCAATTGAATCCAAGATCTTCCTATGAGGGAAGTGAGAAAAGGTGAAATGGGAGCACATTTTGCTGTTCCTTTCTTCATTGGAATTAAAAGTAAAACACCATGTAAACAGAAATGAGAGCAAGACCAAATGTGCTTTGTGGTGGAGATTGGAGAATCTCAGTGAGGTTGAGCATCCCTGATTATTAGCCAATATTTAAAGCTAACAAGAAAGGATTTATATCAGGAAGTGGTAGTCTACTGCCACTTTTGTCTTCTAGTTCACTGGCTCTGGAGCTACCAGAACTGTCACCAGGAACTCACCCAAGCACATAGGGTGGAGAACTCCCAGGATTCACAGGTTAGTAGGTTCCCTGTGCAATGAAGCTTTACTGGCTCATCAGTGCCAGGCCAGGCACTGGTTCCTTTTGACCTGGAAGGATAAGAAAGGCTTCTAGATCACAGGTCTCAACAATTTCAGCTGTACTTAACTCCTGAATGCAACTCTGTGACTGCCTACAACCCAGCACTGGCACAAGTGGGCAGTGTCATCTTCTGGCTGTCAGGCAGCATCTAGACAGCCACAGGACTTTTCTGGTTCCAGTCTATGAGGTCAGAAAATCACTTGGAGCTCATGATCAAGGACCCACTCCTGGATCCCTCTTCCCTCACTTGCAGAAAGAGGTATACCAGCTGCTTTTTTGATGTCAGGAGAGCAACTCTGAAGATGAGCTGCTGGGGGCATTTCAGGGTGACAGGGAGGGATGAAGCTCAACCTTGCCAAATCTGATAAGCCCTGGTGGTTCTCAACCTTCTTCTCTCCCACTTATAAATGCTGCACTTAGAGGTCTGAAGGAGTGAGAGGAACAGGGCAGCATTGCCTGTGAGCTCCTCCTGCCCTTCCTAGGCTGCTTGTACTTCTTAGTTCAGAGGGTTGTAGGTATCCCTAGAAAAGGGTGGCCCTCATGTCTTAACCTAGGAAGAACCAGCAGATAATTCAAGATCATGGTTTAAGGAAGTCCTGTTCAATCCTATGGTTTCAGGCCACAGCATCAAAACTCCACATATGAAAGACTATAGGGGAAAGGCTGCAGCTCACTCCTACAGTGCATGATTTGCATTCAGAAGGTTCTAGGTTCAAACCCTGGTGTAAGATCCAGGCATGAATGGAATAGGCAGAAGTAAGCTAGATGGGTCAATGATCTTCTCAGTAAAAGGCAGTGTTTGATATTCTAAAGCAAAGGATAGGCATTAGTAGCTAACTCTGGCATGGAGACCTCCTAGCTCCTATCATGTCCAGATATCATGGACATGGCCAATGGTCAGTTAATGTAACTTGGAGTCTAACAATAGGTAAAAGCTCCCAGATACTCCATCCTAGGTATTCTATTCCCAACCACTTCATTCTACTACCTTCTGATCTATTTTTGCTACATTTTCCAATTCTTTGCAATAGCTAGAAGTTTTAAACTGACAAGCTTAGCAGCCATTCTTAAGAATTTGCAGTTTCATTAAAGTGCTTTTTAAATCAATATTATTTAGAAGATTTTGTGAGGAAGGAAGGAAGAAGGAAGGAAATGGAGGGGGGAGGGAAATAATGTTGCTTTTTTAGGCAGAATCTCATTTGTTGGGACTTAACAGAAGGCTTGTCATTTATTAGTTCTCTTCCAACTGTGCAGGAGGTCCATAAAGCAATTATTTTCCATTGGCAAGTCATGGTCACATTATTGAACAATTCCATTTCTCAAACAAGATAACTTAACTCATTAGCATTTCTATTGGCTCAACTAATGAAATGCCAGACTTCTCAATCCCCATGTCAAAATAAAGACAAACAGCTTTGGAAGCATTTATTGATTGTGGCAAGACGCATTATTTCTTCTCATCCTCGGACTTTGTTTTGGATCACTTAAGGACCAGGTTAAAAAATAACAAAATAGCAGGGACACAAGCAACTGAATGGCTAAGAAGTGTTCCAAGGCTTGTACATGCATGTATGTATGGATGGAAAAAATCATTGATATTTGCACTTCTAGAAATTCTCTGAAATTCACTTTTTCAACCTGCTTTTCTTTTGGATCTAGTG